TCCTTAGCCATAAAGAGGAATTTGCTGTTGTAAGTCAACTATTCCTCAATAAAAGATAATAAAATATTCAAAAAGATACTAGTTATACAAAGTAAATGGAATGAAAAATATAGTAACCATTATAAGAGACACCCTGAATGGTCTCAAGAGTAGAGTGATGACAGAGACACTAGATTCAGTGAAATTAAAAACTGTATTAACCTGAACAACAAAGATAAATAGACTTTTTATAAAGAGCCTCAGTTCCTGTGGGACAATAGCAAAAGATCCAACATTCATGTCATCCAAGTCCCAGAAGGACAGGAGAAAGACTGTGGAACTGAAAAAGTATTCAAAGAAATAATGGTTGAAAACTTCCCAAATTTCATACAAGATACAAATCTACAGATTCAAGAAACTGAGAAAATTCCTAAATAGATAAATAGAAATCAAACCAAAACACATATTTCTGAAAACGAAACAAGAAAAAAATATTTTAAAATAGTGAGAAACACCAATTCAAAAGACTGGATTTGTCATCTGAAACCATGCTGAGCAACAGGAAATGGCACAGTACTTTTTAAGTGCTAAAAGAAAAGAACTGTCAACCTCAAATTCTACATACAGTGAAACTATCTTTGAGGAATGAAGTAGAAATAAAGGCATTCTCAGACAAAGGAAAACTAAAAGAGTGTGTTATTGCAAGTAGCTCTTACAGAATAGTTGAAAATAGCTCTCCAAATACAAAGAAAATAATAATAGAAGAAGGCAAGATCTTCAGAAAAGAAAGACAAGAATGGGAAAAAATAAAAGTAAACATAATAGACTTTCCCACTCCACAAGTTTCTTTACCTTATTTTATGGTTGAAACAAAAATTGTAACAGTATCTTACATAGTGATCAATCTATGTAGAAGACATATTTAAAACAATCAAAAAAAAAAAAAGGTAAAAGACCTAAATGGATGTAATCTTTCTACACTTCACTTGAAATGGTTAAATTTCAATGCCAGCAAGCTAAATAAATAAATAAACAAACGTGTATGTGTGTGTGAACAAATACTGAAATTTTTTTTAAAAAAAATTATATTTAAAAAAAACACTATAAATCAAAATAGAACTCTAAAAATGTTTGAGTAACTCATAGGTGGTTGTTGTTTAGTCGCTAAGTTGTGTCCAAGTCTTTTGTGACGCCATGGACTGTAGCCCACCAGTCTCCTCTGCCCATGGGATTTCCCAGGCAAGAATATTGAAGTGGTTTTCATTTCCTACTCCAGGGATCTTCCTGACCCAGGGATCTAACCAGCATCTCATGTGTCTCTTGCACTGGCAGGCGGATTCTTTACCACTGAGCCACCAGGGAAGCCCAACTCACAGGTAAACAAGATAAAAGAAACAGAAGAACAAGAAACAGGGGGAACCAGCAGAAGACAACAAAATGGCAGACTTAAGCCTAATACATCAATAATTATTTTAAGTGTACATGGTCTATATCACCAATTAAAAGACAGAGATTGACACAATGGATAAATAACATGACCCAGTTACATGGTGACTACAAGAAACGCATTTCAAAAATATGTATCATGTAAATAATCAAAAGAAAATAGAAATGCTACATTAGTATCAGATAAAGTAGATTTCAGAGTAAAGAAATTAATAAGCATCACTAACAGAGCTTCAAAACACATGAAGGAAAAACTGAAAGAGCTGAAAGATAATACACTAATCACAATTATAGCTGGGGACTCAAATACCCTAATCTCAGCAACCGATAGAACTGCTCAACAGAGAATCGGCAAGAATATGGAAAAAACAAACAAGACCATCAACAAATATGATGTAATCATCATTCATGGCACATGCTACCCAACAACAACAGAATACACAATGTTTTCAAACATACATTGAACATTCCCCAGGACAGACCATATTCTGGGTCATCAAGCAAATCTTGAATCTTAAAAGAATCAAAATCATATAGAATATGTTCTATGATATATAGTAAAGAATTTAACCTTACCTGAAGAAAGGTTTTTCAGTCTTCATCTCCAGGGATGTGACCTCTACAAAAAGTATCTTTTGTTTACCTGAGGGCCAAAGCCACCAGACAAATCTAATGATAAAATTTATGATGGAAGGTTTCAGCCATGAGGTATCAGCTTTCAATCAAAAAGAATGGAGACTAAAGGTATCAGCTTTACCTCCTAAGAGGCGAGAAACTAAAGGTCAGCCACATGGGTAGCCAACAAGGAACCCAGGTAAAAATTCTGGACACTAAGGCTCAGGTGAGTTTCTCTATTTGGCAATATACCCAAATGCATATTGTTACACATAGCTGATGGGAAACTTAGCACTGTCCATGACTCCACTGGGAGAGGACAGTGGGAAGTTCCACACTTGGAACTCTGGCTGTAGGCTCTGCCCTTTGTACTTCTTCCTTTGGCTAATTTTAATCTGACTCCTGCTATAACAAACTAACTGTGAGGATGATAGCTTTCAGTGTGTTCTATGAATCCTTTTAGTGACTTATTAAGTGTAAGAGTGGTCTTGAGAACCCTTGAAAGTGCAACTTGTAAAAAAAAGTCTTTTGGCTGCACCACACGGCATGCGGGATCCTAGTTCCCCAATCAGGGATTGAACCCACCCCCTCTGCATTGGAAGGCAGATTCTTAACCACTGGACCACCAGGGAGTCCCTTGAAAGTGGAATTGATGTCAGAAGTGAGGGAAGACTCTTGTAGATAGCCTCCTCTAACTTTCACGTGAGACCAGAATAAAATCAAACCATAAAAGAAAGACAAGAAAATCTCCAAACACCTCCAAATAACGTTTCTAAATAATCCAAGAGTGAAATAAAAAATCTCAAAGAAAAAAAATTTTTGAAGGATTATAAGGACATGTATATCCTTTATATACATGGATATATTATATATATACATTTATATATATAAAATCCATCATAAGGATAATAAGAAAACCATATATAACTTACACTCATGACTTTGACAACTTAGAAGAAATGAAGCAATTCTTTGAAAATCACTAACTACCAAAACTACCAAAGAAGAAACAGGAAATCTGAATAGTCCTATTAAAGTGAAAGAAAGAAAGAAAGTGAAAGTCACTCAGCTGGGTCTGACTCTTTGCAATCCATGGACTATATATTTCATGGAATTCTCCAGGCCAGAATACTGGAGTGGGTAAGCCATTCTCTTCTCCGGGGGATCTTTCCAAACCAGGGATTGAACCCAGGTCTCCCACATTGCAGGTGGATTCTTTACCAGCTCAGCCACCAAGGAAGTCCTATAACTATTATATTAATACAAATTGAATTTATAATTTAAAAGAGGCTAAAAAAAAAAAAAAATCCAGATCCAAATGGTTTCACTGGAGAATTTTACCAAACCTTTACAGAATGTTTTACACAATTTCATCCAGAAAAAGATGAAAGGGGAATACTTGTCAACTTATGTTATGAAGCCACTATTTTTCTTACACCAAAATCAGGCAAAAGGCAGCACGTATACATGCACACACAAAAAAACTACAGGCCAATATCTCCTGTCAACTTAGATGAAAAAATCTTCAATTAAATTTTACCAATCAAAACCAAAAGTGAATAAAAAGAATAATGTATCATGATCAAGTAGAATACTCAAGGTAAAGCTGATTCAATATTTCAAGATAAAAATTTTTTTAAAGAAATCACCACACCTATGCAAAAGGAAAGGCCTCACCACGTATAAAAAATTAGTAAAAATAACATCTTAAATGAAAGCAAAACACTTAGGAGAGTATATATTATTTTTCCATGTTCCCCCTCTGTATTAATTTCTTAGAGCCTATATAACAAAGTACCACAAACTAGGTGGCTTCAAATAACAGAAACAACTCTTCTCATAGCTCTGGAGTAGTGGGAGTTACAGACATCATCAAAGACCTCTGACTTGTGGAATGAACCTGGTCTTGTGGAATGAACCTGCCTTTATGACCTTATACTTTCCTAAGGTCTTACTCCTTTCTTTCCAGTCATTCCTCTACCATCTCTGTCTCCTCAATGTAGTCATTTTCTTTAATTTTCACAAATTCTAATTAATTTAATTTTTCCTAAATATTCTATTAGAATATATATTCATATGTTCTTGATCCACTACTAGAGTGAAAATGTCTTTATAATATTTATTTTTATTTATTTTTTAAAGCTAAATGATTTTTTGAAATATTTCTTTATCTATTTATTTATTTGGCTGTGCCAGCTCTTAGATGCAGAAGGTGAGACCTTTTAGTTGCAGCATGTGGGATCTAATACCCCCACTCCACCTCTGACCAGGGATTGAAGCTTGTCCCCCTGCGCTGGGAATGCGGAGTCATAGTCACTGAAATACCAGGGAAGACCCATCGTTATAATGTTTAAAAATAGTATTCTCATCTCCTAGTAAAAGGAACTTGCATGATTTTTTTAAAAATTAATACTCTATTGATTACATCTTTTGATGGACAGAAGTTTTTTAACTTTGATATTTGTCTTTTTTGACTACCTGTCCTTTGGTGTCATATCCTAGAAATTCCTGCCAAATCCAAAGTTATGAAACTTTCCCCCTTGTATTTTCTTCTAGATGGTTTATAGTTTTGGGTCTTAGATTTACTTGTTTGACCCATTTTGAGTTAATTTTTGTATATAGTGTAAGGTAGGGATACAATTTTATTCCTATGCATGTGGGGTATCCAGTTTCCCCAAAACCATTTGTTAAGAGTACAGTCTTTTCCCTCATAGAACGGTCTTGGCACTCTTATCTAAAATCATTTTCTCATATATCCGAGGGTTTACTTGTAGACTCTCTATTCTACTCCATTCATCTATATATCTGTCTTTATGCCAGTACAACACTGTTTGATTACTATAACACTGTAATAAGTTTTTAAACCAGATTTTCCCTAATTAGTCTGTCTAAAATAACTTTACCAGCCCAACAGTCTGACCAGTTGGCCTACTCCTTGCCACAACTTCCTGCTCACTCACCTGGGCACCGTTCTCCTGTCACCTCCCTCAAAACCATCCAGGGCTCCTTCCCTTGCTCCAGTGAAGTGATCACAGCTGGCTTAGAAACAGAAAGTCCTGGTTATAAGAAAAGAAATGGAGATGAGGTTGAAATTAGAGTATTCAAATACCATGTTTCAGAATTCATTTTAAAAAGCCTATAGGACAAGAAGATACTTGATAAGGTCTAGAGAAGAAAGAAGAGTCCACTTCTCATATAGAGATAAACTCGGGATCATAAGAAACAAATAATGTCTAAGGTAAAATGTTATTTAAATTACATAAGCTTTCTCTCCTTATTTTCCTTTGAGGAAAAAAAGGAGTTTCTGAAATACTTATTCTCAGATATTTTTCCATGAGAAATGTAAAGTTCTTAGAATGTAATTTCCAAATGTTTAAAAGAGTACAAAAATTACAGTAAATGGAATAGTGTTCCTTTGAATTGTAAATGTAAGTGATATATTTTGATTCAGTCCATTGCACTAATTGAGAACGTTAATGAGCTTTGCACCCAGGACCCATGTGTTTAGCTTTATCTGCACTAGAGCATTTGCTCGTTTGGTACACTGCAAGTGAAACAGAAGACAAAGTCTGCTTTCTTTGACCATGTTATGCTTTAATGATATAGAATTTTAATTCTGCTCCTTAATTTTTAAGGAAGAAAGTCAATTATAAGAAATGCCAGAGAAAAGTATGAGGATAGAGAAAATGAAGGTGCAACTCCATCTAATTGTGCTCATTTCTACACGAAATGAAAATTCATCTTGTTATTTGAAAGGCAGCCCTAAAATTCATAGCACAGAAAGCAGAAACTCCAAGAAACAGATTCTGAATTATTAGAGACAGATAACTTTACCCAGTGAAACCAGGTTGCTATAGTTCTCCAACATCACATCTTTGTACAAATTCCTCTGCGCAGGGTTCAGGCATTCCCATTCCTCCTGAGAAACATCTATAGCCACATCTTTGAACATCACCAACCCCTAAAATGGCAAATCACAGTACTATTTTTGAAATTATAAGAAACATTTTTCAAAAGGAAAAAGCAGTGCTAAAGAAGTCACTGCAGGAAAGGAATGATATAGTGAGTATACAGGCTGGAAGCTTGTGTGGGTCGAAAATGAATTTAGTGGGACTGAAGAAGAGTGCCCACATACTCTTAAACAATTCAGTTTCTGCATACACATCCTCTTGCATAGGGTGGAAAATTGTTAATCACTCATCTAGAAATTAAGAAAATAAAGAGAGGTTTCCAACTAAGTTAAATAGTTGAAAGTTTAAAAATTTTTCCAGAATATCTTATGACAATCTCCATCTTTAGAATAAGGACCTGAAGATTTTTCTTCCCCATTATGACTAAGCATTTTTTTAAAGCAAATTCTTTAGTAAACATCCAGTGCAGACTGTATTTTCCAAAGATGAACAGACCTCGTTTGGTCTTTTTCAACATGATCTTGATACAACAGCCCACTCACCAGCAGGCCAATAGCAGCTTTTGGGACCATGTCAGGAACTGCTCCCTCCACCAGCATGCCACACCAGATCTGGGACCCCCAGGCTCACAACACCCATTCCAGAATCTAGCTCCGCCCCCCACCCCCCGCCACTGTGCCAGTGGGCCAACATTAGTTCTGAGATCCTCTGAGGCCCCATTGCCAGCAGTCTCATGATCCAGCTCTGCCAACCAGTGCCCATCAGCCTCTGCATAAGACAGGGCCATGAATTTCCCTGATAGTCCAGTCCAGCGGCTAAGACTCCACGCTGTCAGTGCAGGGGCCCTGCATTCAACCCCTGGTCAGGGAACTGGCTCCTGTGTACCACAGCTAAGACCCAGCACATCCAAATAAATAGATAGAGATATAGATATTTTAAAGGGCTTGTTAGGCAACCAGACCAGAAGTCAGCCACACCTACCAGACTGCTCACAGTAGTCAGCCTACCACAACAGGAGTACCGACACAGTACAAATACAAGGCACAAGCATATAGCTCTAGTGACCAGAGTGGGGAGCACTGCTGGAAGACAGAGGACACCTCCTACAAGACCACTTCTCCAAGATTGGAAAAGATAACCAACCTATCAGAAAAAAAAAAATTAAAAACAGTAAACTGAGGAAAATGAGGTGACAGAGAAATATCCTCCAAGTGAAGGAACAAGATAAAACCCCAGAAGAAGAACTAAGTGAAGCAGAGATAAGCAATCTACCCTATACAGAGTTCAAGGTCTGTGTGTCACATACAGCCTCCATGACATTCTTTTTTCTTAACTTACTTATAACCCTTCTGAAATGCAAAACCATTCTCAGGTTGAAAGCCGTACAAAAAAAGGCTGTGAGCTGGATTTGGCCAGTATACCACAGTTTGCTAACCCCTGTCTAGATACTTGAAGGCAGCAATTGTCAGACTGGGTAAAAGTAGAATCAAACTATGTGCTGTTATATGAGATACACATAAAATAGGTTAAAATAAAAGGATGGAGGGGCTTCCCTGGTAGCCCAGTGGTAAAGAATCTTCCTTGCAGTTCAGGGGACGTGGGTTTGATCCCTGGCTGGGGAACTAAGATCCAACATGCCACCGAGCAACTAAGCCCCCTCTGTGGCAAACACTGAGCCCTTGTGCCACAACTAGTGAGTCCGTGCACCACATCGAAAGATCCCACAAGATGCAACAAAGATTCTTGTGCTGAAACTAAGACACAACACAGCTAAATAAATATTTTTTTAATAGGGATGAAAAAAATATTTGCTATGAAAAAAATGGTAAAAAAAAAGCTAAAGTATTTATGTTAAAGAGAACAGAATTCAAGACAAGAATACTGTATTATCAATAGAAACATCTCAAGATCAAGGAATCCATGCGTCGAGAGGCTATAACGTGCACCTCATAACAGAGCTTCAAATTACCATAAAGCAAAAATTAACAGAACTGTAGCAGATGGATCCACAATTGTATCTAGAAGTCTCAACAGTCTTCTCCCAGTAATTGACAGACAAGTAACAACAACAAAAAAAAAATCAGTAAAGATATAGAAGAGTTGATCACCACTACAGACAAAACTGATAAACACTCTACCAAAAGACAGTATAATACCCCATTTTTTAAAACTGCACATGGAACCTTCACCAAATTGTTCACAATTCAGGCCATAAGACAAATCTCAATAAACTTAAAAGGTCAGAAATGACAGAGAATATCTCTGGACCACCACAGAATTAAAAATGAACTATCAGAAAGATCTAAAAAAAGTCCCCCAATATTTGGAAGTTAAAGAGAACTCTTCTAAACAACTCATGGATGGAAGAAGAGAATTTTAAGCTAGAAAAATAAGATAAAATTAAAGATAGGCAAATAAGATAAAAATAAGCTAGAAAAATAAGATAAAATTAAATCTATAATATACAGAGTGAAGGAAAGAATAAGTAAGATCAGTAATCAGTGAAACAGCAAGGGCAAACTAGGGAGAAACTAAAACTAAAAGCTGGTTCTTCGGAAAGAACAATAAAATTGATATACTGATCAAGAAAAAAAGGCATAAATTATCAATTAAAAGGGTGCATTACTGTAGATCTGACAGGCATTAAAATGATAATAAGGGAATATTATGAACAACTTTATGCCAAAAAATTTGACATCTAAGTTGAAATAAGTCAATTCCCTGAAAGGCACAAATTACTAAACTAATTCAAGAAAAAATAAAATACCAAAGCCTTTTACCTATTAAAGAAATTAAAGTCTCCCCATGAAGAAAACTGTAAACTCAGATGGTGTATTAGTTTTCTACTGCTACTGCCCACATCACCACAAATGCAGGAGCTTAAAAGAACACATTTATTGTCTGTTGGTCAGAAGTCCAACAAGGGTTTTACTAGACTAAATCAAGGTTTTGGCAGGACTATGCATCTTTCTGGCAGCTCTCTCCAGTTCAATTTCCTTGCTTTTTCTAGCTTCTAGAGGTTACATACATTCCTTGGTTTATGGCCCCCTTCCTCCATCTTAAAAGTTCAATAATGTTGTATTTTTTTAAAACATAAGCATGCATATTCCATCCTTACATCCTCTTTTAACCCTGACTCCTCAGATAACCCAAGAGAATCTTCCCATCTTAAAAGCATTAATTCAATCATTTCTACAAAGTCTCTTTTGCCATATGAGGTAACATGTTCACAGGTTCTAGAATTAGCATGTAGACAGTTTTCTTGGAGGGGAGTCATTATTCTGCCTATCACAGATGCTTTTTGCTGGTTAAAAACTATCCGACAATTAAGGAAGAAATAATACCAATTCTATTTAAAAAAAAACACACAAAACTTTCAGAAAATATGGAGGAGGATGCATGGCACCATCACTTACCCACTCACTGGCAAGTTATATGATATTCAGTTAGGTAACAATATCAGGATAAAGAATGCAAATATGCATATGACCTATAAAGGGAAAAAAAGGACTACTTCAATGAGGAACAAAACACCAACTTACATGGGCCATGGCTTTTTTTTTTTTTCTTAAGAATTCAGAGTATTTATTAGTCCTCTTCTTGTTTCCACTTTAGAAGAAATTCACAGCCCAAAGAAACTGTTGCTGAATAAGAGGGTTCAAAAAAAAAAAAAGTGATGATCTTGTGTCTGAGCTCCCAATGTGCTAATTTAGAACATTTCTCTTATTTTATGTCTCCTATTCCCAGATCCCAAACACATACATAAAAGATCACAGAGAAGCTGGACAAATCCCAACCTCACTCAAAGCAAGGAGGGAATCCAGCTATCGATTCAAGAAGGACTGTGCCCAGGCCCTTAGCAGGAGGACCATTTCTCTGCAGCTGGAGTCCTGACTATAAAGTAAGAGGAAAGAGAAAGCAGTGATACAAGGATACAGATCCTAGGAAAGGATAGAAACTAAAATTGGCCCCTAGGCGGGCAATACTCACTCCACTGATAACTCACTTTTGTGTTAAGCACTGGAGTCTGGGCACTGGAGGTGGGGGTGCCCTGACAAAGGCAGCGTAGAACATGCTTCAGTGAGACTCCAGTTAATACCGGCATGGTAAAGGCCTGTCTTTACAGGAGCAGATATTCTCTCAGGGAGATCTTCAACAGACCCCCTCTGTCCTGATGTTAAAACTAGAACTGCAGAAATGAAGCTCTATCCCAGACACAACCAAACTCCCACCCGGTCACAGAATTAAAATCCCCATTGGGTTTCCCTGGGGGCTCAGTTGGTCAAGAATCTGCCTGCAATGCGGGAGACTCGGGTTGGATCCCTGGGTCAGGAAGATCCCCTGGAGAAGGACATGGGCAACTCAGTCCGGTATTCTTGCCTGGAGAACTCCGTGGACAGGAGACTGGTAAGCTACAGTCCATAGGGTTGCAGAGTCGGACACTACTGAGCGACTAACATGGGTTACCTCTCACTAGGGAACAACAGCACCGTCTTCTGAAGGGAGATCTCAAGCCCCACAGTGTCACCTACCTCACATCAGAGCCAATGGGTCCCACATCTTGCACCTGTCACGGCTTCATCACCGCACACACACCCGCCTCGTTACGGCCACAAACGCTCACACGCACTTTTTACACGCAGGCTCCACACGCCCAGTGTGAGCCAGAGGGTGGGGGCTTCCTCACGGCGAGTGCCCGCCGTGCCCAGACTCCGGTTACCACTAGGAGGGCGACGACTGCGAGGAGGACTTCGGAGGGGAAACAGAGATAACCAAAGATCAAAGTTCTTTTCAAAAGCCACCCAGGGACTGTGGGAAATGTAGTTCAAGGCCGCAAAAGCCCGGATGTCTAGAAGGCGCGCGCCGAGGCCGCGGCGGCGAAGACCGGCCGCTGAGACCCTTGGGAGGCAGTGCTCGCGCTGGAGTGCGCAGGCGCAGACGGCCGGCCCCCTTTCGAAGGTGAGGCTAGTAGGTCCTGCGGGCTCTGGGTGGGTGTGTGATGTTGGGTCCCGCTGGGGGTTGCCTAGGAGGGAGGTGGGAACCTGGGCTGGGAACCCCGAGGAGAGAAGAGGGAACCTGGACTGAGAGAAGACCGGGAAGGAAAGCGAGAATCCGGGCCCTAGAGAAAGCGAGGAGGGAAGCGAGAACCTAGTCAGGGGAAGAAACTGAGAGCAAGTGCTGGGAACGCCGAGGTAGAACAGGGAGCCCGAGGAGGCTGTGGCTCGGCCTGGTACATACAGGCGTTCTGATTGTGTAGTTTTTTGTGCCCGTTCTTGTGTGTGTGTGTGTGTGTGGACATGTGTTACTCTGTGCGACGTTATGGAACCTATTGTTTGTGAAAGTCAGAGGGTCTCTATGTGGTCTAATTTTTAAATTAGGTGCGAGTCTGTTTTGAGGCTGTGCAACTTGAGTGGCAACAGTAAGGGGGTTGTGAGTAAAATTTTGCTGCTTTGTGTAGAAGTATGTAATGGACTGTATGAGTTTATGCATGACATGTGGCTGTGGGGTTGGGATTGTGTAGTGGGTGATACAACAGTGAATATGTCACATTTTAAAGTGTGCACACAAGTAAGTGCACAGTTCACGGTGACTGTGAATGTGGCTGGTTCATTGTGACTGAGATGGAACACTTGAGAAAGTAGATTCAAGACTAGTAAGTAGTATCTATTATTTAGATTATCAGAATATTGGCCATTTTATATGCCTGTAAAATTTGACTCTGGCAAACAGACAAGTAAAAAAAATACATATTTTTAAATTGGAGAGGAGGAGGTAAAATTAAAATAATTTTCAGATGGTACAGTCTTGTATTGGGAAAGTCATCGTATTGACTAATGACCAGTATGTTGACATAAGTAGAACACTGTTGGGAGCACACAAAAAACTTTCTCCGAAAACTGCTGCTCTCAAAGTTTGTATTTGGGTGAATTCCTGGACAATAAACGTTCAATAATTTCTTCAGTCGTTGCAAAGATGCTGAACATTTAAACCCGAGATCAGCCTCATTTAGCTGAATAGAATGTTCACTGTAGAAATCAGTGCTTCAAACTTGTTTTAAAAGCAAAAACGCTCCTTCCTGCTGGAAGCCTGCTGTGTGAAAGAAAATGTGATCAGTTTCTTCTCTAATCCCTCTATTTGTCCCCTCTTTATTCCGTCTAGGTTGATAGTCTTCAGCTGGAATGGATTGGGAGCTGAAAAAGAGAAATCATAAGTCAAGGACAAAAACAGGCTAACATGACTGGTACCATTATAATATAGTGTAAGTTATATCTTACTTTGTCATGGCCAACTCAATGGACATGAGTTTGAGTGAACTCTGGGAGATAGTGAAGGACAGGGAAGCCTGGTGTGCTGCAGTTCATGGGGTTACAAAGAGTCAGACACAACTCAGTGATTGAACAACAACAAATACCTTTCCTTCTGAGAGACCCCACTGTTGGGAACTTCCAGATACAGTTCCCTTTTTATGGGCACAACCACTTCTCCATATACCTCTCTTGGCATGCAGTGACCCACCTACTTATAGGTCTTGTTCTCTCCTGTCAGTCCTCTTGGACAGGATCTAAGCCAACCTAGGTATGCTCCATCATCCTTGGATTCCCCATCTGGAGCTCAGATGAGAATTAGCCCCCTTAGTCACCACCATTCCACTCCCCCATATCCTGGAAGCATGTACATTTCTCCCCCAAATTCTCTCATTACTTTATAGTAGTATTAGGGTCTAAGGAGCCCCTTGTTTGTTATAAGGGAGGAAGAAGAATCTATTTTTCTTCTCCCTAGAAAACTGTTCTAAAAATAATTTGCTGTCTTAAAGAGACATTTCCTTTTCTTAGCCTCTTCTAGCCTCTTGAAGGAGCCTCTTCCTCCTTGGAGTTAAATTAATGGTAGCAAAACTTTACAGTCAGCTGCTTTTTAAGACTTTATTTTAGCATGAGGGACAATTAAAAGCTTGTTTGCTCACCACCTTTGGGACATCTGCTGAGACTGAGGTAGGAAAATTTCTTAGTTACCATCCTGTTAAAAATAATGACAACAGAAAACTCAGAGGTTTGCTGGAAAAGACATTAACAAATCAATAGACTGTATGTGTGTGTACATATCAGAAAATTATGGGAAGTGGCTATCAAAATACAAGATACAAAGATTGTGTGGTTTGTAAAAAAAAATTTGATGTTCCTGACAGACTCAAAAATTAAAGATTTAAGAACCAGAAGACACACAATAAGTGTCAAAACTGACATTTCATGAAGTTTCTGTAAAATTTCAGTAAAACTTTTAAACTTTCCAAAGTTGTTAGGAGATAATGAACAAGACAGAAGTGGTTAGAGAAAATAATGAAGCAGGGAGTAGGCTTACCTGATACTAAAATATGTTTTAAAACTGTAATAACTGCAGAGTCATCCTGGCAGTTAAATGAAAAGATCAGTGGAACTAAATATGAAGTCCAAATATACTCAAATATGTAAAGGAAATAAAGTATATGATAAAGAAAAGCTATAAAAATTATTTTAGGTATTTAAAGGATTAATTTCCTTCCTTTAAAAAGATCTAATATCAATCCAGAAAATAGTTATTAGAAAAGTGAAAAAAATTTGAGACCTTTCACAGACAGCAAACTAAAGATGGACTGCAGAAATGTCTGCAGGGGCTGGTGGTAGCTGCAGACTGGGGAGTTGGTGGCCTGACTCAGCCTGGCTTGTCTTTTATTTTTTTTAAAAAAGATGAGGTTTTTTTAAAAAACTTTAGAAGCTTATCTTCTCTCATAATGAGAAAAATAAGAACTAGAATCACAGTGTATACTTTGGCAAGCATCAAGAACTTTGTATCAGTGGTTCTCAGGGTATGGGGTGACAGGTATTTTCATGTATTGTTGGTCATGATGTAGATTGAGCCTTAATGGAGAAGAGCTTGGAAGTAGTTAGTAGGCAGTTTAGGAGAGAAAAGTGGTAGTAGAGAGGAGAGCGGCTTGCCCAGAATCTAACTTTTTGCCCCAAGATCCTGTATCTCTAGCTTAGGGGATGAAATAATATTTGTCTAGCTCATTATCCCCTTGTATTTGTGTGGACAGAGTGGACAAGCACCAAAGCAAAGGAAATAGAGTCAATTTTAATTGAGCTGTAAGTCATGAGAGCTCAAAGACGTATGTGGTGTCATGTGGCTTCTTTTCATGTTGGTTTTGCCTTCTTAGAAACCACCCCTTTTCTAAAGAAGAGCCCAAAGGAAGACTGGTCATCTCTTGTAAATTTCAAAACCATGGCTCAGGTGAGATGATGGTTCTTTTCTCTTTTCTGAAATAGTTTTGTTTGTTTGTTTAAAGACTATTTGAGCATTTGCTTTTCTTGTACTAAAAGCCCCCTGTTTGCCTTCCCCTTCAGGAAACCAGTACCCACTTGTTCTATTGGTCAGATACGCTTTTACCTTCCACAAGTGCTCCTTCTAATTTTAACCAGTGTTCACATATTAGTGGGTGTAATCATTCAACATCTTTTCTCAGTCTTCTCCCAGAAACAGTGCTAGAACAAAAATGCATTTCCTCAGATTAAATGAGAATATAGTACTGCATGGAAGAGGACATGGCAACCCATTCCAGTATTCTTGCCTGGAGGATCCCCATGGACAGAGGAGCCTGGCATTTTACAGTCCATAGGGTCTCAAAGAGTAGGACGTGACTGGGCAACTAAGCACAGCACAGCACATAATGCAGCATGCACCTGTCTTGCAAAGAAAAGAACAGTCAAGATGAAGATAGAATTGACAGATTGCTATTAGTTAAGTGTCAAGGAGTCCTGTCTTGAGGTTTTGAGACAAGAGCTATGCTTGGCAGATTGTACAAAAACCAAGAATCCTGTATTTCTCCCCTCTGATCCTTCAAGAGATCCTTGAATTTAAACTGTTAATGTGTATTTTAATATCTTCCTCTCCCATAATGGATTGTCTTAAATATTCTTCTAATGTGCTTTGGGTTTAATACTAGGCAAACTGTAAGATAAGAGTTAACTGTTCAATGTTATTGGCACAGAGTTTCTGTTTGGGCTTCCGTGGTGGCTCCTGCCTGCAATGCAGGAGACCTGGGTTCAATCCCTGGGTTTGGAAGATCCCCTGGAGAAGGGAATGGCTACCCACTCCAGTAGATGCTGGTGATGGTTATGTAACATTGTGAATGTACTTAATGGCAATGAATTATATACTGAAAAATGGTTAAAATGATAAAATTTTATGTCACTTATATTTTAACACAGACACACACACACACAGTTAAGCAGAAAAGTATAAGAAACACGAACATCCATAAATGAGCACTGGGGCAAACACTTGGAGGATTGGAAAAGGAGCACAGGTATTAAACCATCACCAGTATCTATTTCCAGAGCTTTTTCACATTCCAAACAGAAAGGAAGGGAAAGTCGCTCAGTCGTGTCTGACTCTTTGTGACCCCATGGACTGTAATCCATGGAATTCTCCAGACCACATTACTGGAGTGGGTAACCATAATGTTTTGTTGTTTCAATGTACCAGTCTTGCAGGTGTTTATTGTATTAATACTGAGGTGTTTTTTATGTTGTAAATGCTATTCATTTTTATTTCAAATTCCCATTGTTTATTGCTAAAATGCAGTTGATTAGTATATGAAAATGCAATTTGATTTTTGTTTATTAACCTACCTTCTCTCAAAAATTATTCTAGTAATTTTTTGATAGATTCTTTAGGATTTTATACACACATAATCATGTCAGATGCATAATATTACTGTTGTCCATCTTGCTTTCCAATCCATATTCCTTTTATTTCTGTCTGGCTTTACTACATTGTCTAGAACTTTCAGTTCAGTGTTGATATAAGTAATGAGAACAGATATTTTTGCCTTATTCTTGACTAAGGGGAAAGGCATGTAGTCTTTGACTAAGTGTAACATTGGTGATTAGTTTTACATAAATGCTGTTTATCAGATTTATGAGGTTGGAGAAATTCTAGTTTAATGATCATTTTTATTACAAATGAATGTTGAATTTTGTCAAAAGTTTTTATGCTTCTGTTGTATTTTCTGTATTATATGGTTTTCCCCCTTTTAAAATTAACATGATGAGTTATATTGATTGATTTTGAAGTGCTAAACCAGCTTATCCCTAGGATAAACCCCACTTGGTCATGATAGATTCATATATTCATTTTTCACATATTGCTTAGTGAATTTACTAACACACTGTTTAGGATTGTTTTGTCTGTGGTTCATAAATAATTTGGTCTATAGTTTTTCTTATAATGTTGTTATCTAGTTTTGGTATGAAGGTAATAATAACTTACAGAATGAGTTGAGACGTATTCTCTCCTTTTATTTTCTGAAAGAATTTGTATAGAATTGTTATTATTTCTTCCTTAACTGTTTGTTAGAATGCACCAGTGAAGCCATCTGAGCCTCAAGATTTGTTTGTGGGAAGATTTTTTTACTAGCAGTTCAATTTCCTTAATAGAATTGTGGCTATTAATGCTATTCAGGCTTCCCTTGTGGCTCAGACAGTAAAGAAGCTGCCAGCAATGCAGAAGACCTGAGTTCAGTCCCTGGATTGGGAAGATCCACTAGAGAAGGGAGTGGCAACTCTCATTTCAGTATTCTTGGCTGGCGAATTCCATGGACAGAGGAGCCTGGCATACTATAGTCCTTGGTGTTGCAAAGAGTTGGACACGACCGAACGACTAACACTTTTACTTTCATGCTGTCAGTTTTTTTCTCTTCAGTGAGCTTTTATTTTTTTTTCTTTTTTTTTTTAGTGAGCTTTTATAATTTATGTCTTTTAAGCAATTTGTCCATTTCATCCAAGTTATAGAATTTATTGACAGAGTTGTTCAAAAATCTACTCTTTTTATCCTTTTGATGTTTGTGTAATCTGTAATGGTGCCGTTCTTTCATTCTGTTGTTGATTATTTGCTGATTATTTGACTTTTAGTTTTTTGCTTGATCAGTTGACTAGAGGTTTATCAATTTTGCTGATTTTTTTCAAAGTAGCAACCTTTGGTTTCATTGATTTTCTGTTTTTCTGTTTCCTGTTTCTTCATTTCTGCTCTTATACTTTGTATTTCCTTTCCTTTTCATTACTTTGGATTTAATTACCTCTTGTTTTGTACATGGAAGGTTATATCATTGATATTGGACTTTTTTTCCCCTGTAGGACATTTAACGCTATAAATTTTCCTCTAACAAATTTAGACATGTTGTATTTTCATTTTTATTTGTTTGAAAATATTTTCTAATTTATCTCATGTTTTCCTTTTTGAGCCATTTGTTTAGAGGAAGTGTGTTTAATTTTCAAATATTTGGGGATTTTCCAAATAGCTTTCTCTTATTGATTTCCAGTTTAATTTTGTTACAGTCAGGAAACATGCTGTATATGATTTCATTCTTAAATTTATAGACTTCTTTTGTACCATAGATTATAGTACCATCTGATGAGTGTTCTGTATGTACTTGTAGAGGATGTATATTCTAGTGTTGTTGGATGGTGTATTCTGTAAATAATCAAGTCAAATTGCTTGATTATGATGGTAAAGTCTTCTGTATCCTTATTGATTTTCAGTCTGTTATACCGATGACAGAAAAGGAAGTCAAAATCTTAAGTTACAAGTGTGGCTGTGAAAGTGAAAGTCGCGAGGTCATGTCCAACTCTTTGTGACCCCATGGACTGTAGCCCTCCAGGCTCCTCCATGGAATTCTCCAGGCCAGAATACTGGAGTGGTTAGCCGCTCCCTTCTCCAGGGGATCTTCCCAACCCAGAGATAGAACCTGGGTCTCCCGCATTGCAGGTAGATTCTTTACCATCTGAGCCACCAGGGAATCCCAAAACTATTAATGGAAAGGCTGACTGAGCTTTTTTAAATGGATGGAATAGGATGACACTGCTGATCACTCTTGGCATCACTGAAGCAGGACAACCAGACATCATGTGCTCCTGACAGGACAGTGGTGGTGGTTTAGTGGCTAAGTCATATCCGACTCTTGTGACCCCATGGACTGTAGCCTGCTGGGCTCCTTTGCCCATGGCATTCTCCAGGCAAGAATACTGTAGTGGGTTGTCATTTCCTTCTTCAGGGGATCTTCCTGACTCAGGAATTGAACCCAGGTCTCCTGCATTGCAGGGAGATTCTTTACCGACAGAGCTACATGTAGAATTCATGTGGCTATAATTGTGTCTATTTTAACTTTTGCTTCTATCAGTTTTTACTTAATATATTTTGAAGTTCTGTTTTTAGATGAATTTATATTTAGGACTGTTCTGTCTTTTTTTAAATTGATCTCCTGTCATTATAAAATGCCTTACTTGGAACTTCCCTGGTGACCTAGTGGCTAAGACTCTGTGCTTCCTCTGTAGGGGGCATGAGTTCAGTCCCTGGTTCGGGAACTAAGATCTCATATGCCACAAAATGCAGCCAGAAAATAAATAAATAAGTTAAAGTGGCTTTCTTAATCCCTGATAATGTTCTTTGTTCTAAAATCTATTCTGTTTGATATTGTTATAGCTGTTCTGGCGTTCTTATGATTAGTATTTATTTTTAAATTTAATTTTTTGGGAATATCCTAAATGCTTTTTAACCTAGAGCATCTCCCACCTTTCTTTATTTTTTTCAGCTGATTTACAGTATTACATACGTTTCAGGTGTACAACATAGTTATTCACAGTTTTTAAAGGTTTTTAAAACTCCATTTATAGTTATTACAAGTATTGGCTGTATTCCATGTGCTATGCAGTATATCCTGGTGGCTTATTTATTTTATGCCTAGTAGTTTATACCTCTTAATCTCCTACCCCTATCTTACTCCTCCCTCCTTCCCTTTCACCACTGGTATCCACTAGTTATCTCTGTCTGTAAGTCTTGTTTCTGTTTTGTTATATATATCTGTTTTATTTTTTAGATTCCACATATTCATGATGACATACAGTATTTGTATTTCTCTGACTTGCTTCACTAAATATAATAGTCTCCAAATCTATCCATGTTGTTGCAGATGGCAAAATTTCATTCTTTTTTTAATGGCTGAATAATAATACTCCTGTGTGTTATGGGGGGCTGTGTCTTCTTTATTCATTCACCTGTTGATGGGCACCTAGCTGGGTAATATTCCTCTGTGTGTGTGTGTGTGTGTGTGTGTGGCTATTCCCTATGTCTTCTTTATCCATTCATCTGTTGATGGGCACCTAGGTGGCTTTCACATCTTGGCTATTATAAATAATGCTCTGAACATTGGGGTGGTACATGTGTCTTTCTGAATA